CCCAAAGTCATTCACCCCCGTGGCTTTCCAATACCAAAATCAAGATCCCCATCCTCTTCCAAGTTTTGGGAAGTTGCGTTGTTTCCTTTCTTTTTTCCCTTCCCGGTCGCGAATTGGACCCTTGGTTTCAGCTGCTGAGTTTGAGTGAGGGATATAGCCTTTGTGTGTCCCCTTGACCTTGTCCCCTGCGGTCCTGTTCGAGTGCGTGCTGATCTTCTTGAACTGAATTCCGTTAGGAGGGGGGTACGAACAGCTGCCGATTTCCAGGGGCTTAGAATTTCTGACGACCCCCCCCCCCCCCCCCCCCCCCCCCCCCCGATGCCCCTTATCAGAATTGAGCAGCAGATCGACAGGGCGACCCACATTCACAATGAGTGCCACGTTCGCGAACCTCGGGGGCCTCTCTCTCGGCTCTCTCTGTGCTCCTCTCTCACCAGATCGGCATTATTCGATCCGATAATGCAAGTCGGCCGAAGCGAGAGAGAGCAACGTGGACAAGAAAGGATGGACATTGATGCGGAGCGAGCCGACAAACTGCTCAGCTGAAGAAAGAGAGGCCGGCTTATTACCGACGAAATCACATGACGAAGAGCATGTCGACGTCTATATAATTTCGCAACTTGTTAGTGTCTTGGTTCTCTTGGCTTGAGATAGGATAGGTAAGTTGAGAGACGCCGAGCCAGCGTGTTTCATGTCATGAGCACTTGGCTTCATCAATGGCAACATCAAAGACGCAGTGAAAAGGGGGGCGGGTGGGCACCAGACAAAACGTACCGATTGGGTGACTGCTGGAGAGCTGAGGCTTCTGCGTATACTTAGTCTCGAGCACATCGCGGATGCTGTTGAGCAGCTGCACGTAGCTCTGCTTGGGATTCGCCTTAATGGCGGTGATAAAGGCCCAAGACATGGCTCCCGTGGCTTGGGACGCGATTGTCGCGTCGGCCCTGAAAGAATTGTCAGTATTTTTTTTGGTTCCACACACGCCTAAACTGAAGTCGCCAAAGGGGAAAGATGGCAACATACGAAGTCTGATCGTCCTTGCTACCACTCCACATGATAACATCGGCAGGCGATGTCTTTGTCCGCTTGGTGCGCTCATAGGCCTCATTGCCGCCGCCAAACGCTGTCTTGGCGACGGAGAACAGGCTGCTGGCCATGCCTCCAATATCGCCACGAGCATAGGAGCCAACAGCCGCAAGCAGACCCTGACCAGCCTCCTTGGCAAGGTTGGGCTCCTTGATGACGCCCTTGGTGCTGTAGATATAGGGCAAATCAAGAACGGAGCCAGAGTGGCAGCTGTCAAAGATGGCAGTCAATCGCACACCGGGTTGGAGGGGCTTCACGACGGTATCGTGAATTTGATCGTCGACGATGTGGCCGGCGGTCTTGAAGTCAACAGGGTAGATGGTCTCATCATAGCCGTCGTCCTCATCGCCGTCGGTATCTTTAGTCTGCCCACCATGGCCTGTCGGTGGTAGGCTACCTAGTCAGTGGGAGCACGCGGGTATAGTTCAGAAGGGAAGGTTAACTGACCGGAGTAATGCAAGAACAAGGCATCGTTGGGCTGAGCACCAGCAACTAACCACTGCATCGCACGAAGAATGTTCTCCTTTGTCGGCTGCAAGAGGGGGTTTGTGGCGTCATCGGTAAGAATGACCATGTCCTCGCGCTTATAGCCATAGTTCTCGACAAGGAAGGCGGAGACGTTCTTGGTGTCGTTGATGCAGCCGTGCAACTCGGCATCCTGGCCCAAGTAGTTGATGCCAATCAGCAATGCCTTGCGGCGACCCGAGCAGTTTGAGTACTGGAAGCCATAGCCTTCAGGAGCACCATGACCGAACTGCTGTGTACCCGAGGGAATCTCGTGGATTTCGTGGGAACCCTGATCACGAGCCTGGTGACCAGAGCCGATTGGGTAGCCGTAGATATCATAGCCATCGGGAGGAGGACCAGGGGGGCGTTGGGAATGTCCCTGCTGATGGTGTTGTTGCTGCTGTCCGTAAGGTCCCCCATATCCGCCCTGTGGGGGATACTGTCCCTGGTTGTAGCTGCCTTGCTGATACTGCTGAGGAGGTTGTTGGTGATATCCCCCGTAGCCCTGGTCGTGAGGAGGCTGAGGGTTGTACTGGCCCTGCCCCGGATTTGAGTAGCCATAGCCTCCCTGATGGTGGTGTTGCTGCTGGCCGTCCCACTGAGGAGGGGGAGGTTGGTGGTGTCCCCCACCGGGGCCGTAGCCTTGCCCAGGGTATCCGTACGACATTGGTGGTGAAGATCAGATGGTGATCGATGAAGGAGGGATTCGCATAGACGGGGAAGAGGGAAGCGCGTGGAGAGAAGACAGAGAGGATCTGGGAGAGACTCGAGGTTCTGTTATGGAAGTCCGAGGCCCAGGTTGTATGTATTGTCTTTTTGGGGAGTGAGGAAGTCAATGTGTTCTGTTCGTTTTGTTGTTTCTGTTCAGCGCTGCCGTGTCCAGTGTCTCACACGCTAAGCTGGAACCGTGATGGGGTCCCTGAAACCGCGTCATCCCGCTGCACCATGAGCCTGCAGTGTGGGGTTTGCCGGTTGCCTCCCATGGATTCCATGCTGCCATAGCACCCAACGGAGTCCCTGGAACGGAAACGACGGGAAGTAGTGATTATAGCAGGGAACCTTACCTACCTAACCTCGGACCCTCAAAAGCAAGAGCTCCCGACACGATTCAGCTGCTGCTATACACATAAAGTAGGTACATGTGGCACGGGCTATAGTGGCATTTCCTTGGTGGAGGCAATGGATGCATCATCAGGCATCTTCCGCATCATTCCGGTCCAAGACTTCTTCCTCATCTTCCTCCTTCCATTCTCGACCATGCCAAGATATGGAAGCGGAAGTCGTGCTTGGCTTCAATGGTGATACCGCTTGTGTTTGCATGAAGAACGGGGCCTTGCTTTGCGGAGGAGGGGCAGGCACTTTGAGGGGCACTTTGGGGTACGGATGGCACAGTTAGGTACCTACTCCAGGAACAGGTGGAGGATGACCGGATCGATGTTGTGAGCATCTGAGAGGCAGCCAACACGCCGAGCACTGCGTGCCCCCTTGCGTACCTACCTCTACCTACACTGACTGCATAAGGCCGGATGTTCATGGATGGCGTTTGATACGGTATTCGTCGGACATCCATCTCAGTCTAGTGCCCTGCCGAGCCTTGGTTGTTACAGTCATTGCTTGAATCATAGTACCTGCCCGTCTGTCCCTAAAGGTTCTCACAGCAGGTGCTCGTGCTCATTTGACCTCCCCCGTCGTCCTTCCCCCCCGAACCTCGAAGCTTCCACTTTTTCTCCCTCCGCTACACCACAGAACCCGCAGCCAACTCCAGAGAGAGTAAGCTGACTCGTTACCATGTCGTTCTTTAAGAAACTCAAGAAAGACCTTGTTGAAGATCTAGGCAAGCTGGGTCTCGTCGACAAGAAGGAGGAACAGCCGGGAAGCTACTCCGGTAAGTCCCCGCAACACCGTGATCACTGTTCATAAACCCATCACTAACTCCATCTGCCAGGCTCGCGCGACTACTACCCCCCTCCTCAGCCGCCGCCACAACAATCATATTCTCCTCAGCCTCCTCAGGGACAATCGCAGCCTCCATACCACGGCGGCAGCTACCAGCACCCTCCCCCTCAGCAGCCCGGCTATCAAGGAGAGTACTCCCCTCAACAGTCCGGCTACACTGCCCCTCCCGGCGCCCCCGTTCCAAATTACGAAGCCAGGCCAGCGCCGCCTTACAACCCTCCATCCGACAAGCCGCCCCTGCCCTCAGGCTGGACGCCGAAATGGGACGACGAGTATCAAAGATGGTACTACCTTGAAGAGGCCACCGGCCGCTCGCAGTGGGAAGCCCCCGGCTTTGAGAGGTCCAGGCTCGCCGGTGCCGGTGGCAGTGGTGGTGGTGAGCAAGAGTTGCGCGGCTACGGCGGCGACGGTTCTTATCCTCCTCCTCAGCAGCAGTACGGCGGAGGTCATGGTGGTGTTCCCGACTATGGCTACAGTGGCGGTGGTGGACAACAGTATGGTGGTTACCAACAGCCCCCGCCGCCACAAGGCTACGGCGGCTATGGCCAGCAGCAGGGATATGGTAGCGAGCCGGTAAAAGAAGAAAAGAAGAAGGATAACAAAGGTTTGTATATGGGCGCAGCTGCTGGTCTGGCTGTTGGTGCCGTTGGTGGTGCTGTTCTTGCTCATGAGCTGGGTAAGTTTTCCATCTCTCCCTTCTTCACCATGGCGAACCCTTGCTACGACGAATATATGGCTGTATTAACACTTTAATGTAGCCGAAGACTCCGACTCTGACAATGAGCACCGCGCCGCACCTCCCCCGCCACCTCCCGCGGCCTATGGCGGTGATAGCTACAGTGGCGATTATGGTGGTGGTTACGGCGCTCCGCCCCCGCCTCTTGATGGTCCCATCCCGACGACAAATGTGTATGGTGAGGAGATTGACCAGAGTGACCGTGAGTCGATTGCTTCCGCCCGTAGGAATTACGAGGAAGCTCTAGCAGAGGCACAGTCGTCTTCTGCAAGCAGTAGTGACCAGGAAGAGCTCGAGGAGGCGAGAGAGGAGTATGAAGAGGAGCTCGAGGAAGAGTACTATGATGAATGAATGGAACAACGAAGCGAGCACAAACTGATTTGGGAGATGGGGGCATTCTTCGGTGGAAGTTACGCCGTGACGAGTAGATCAGAAAAACTCTCAGGTGTCGCTGGGCTGTTGGAGGGAGCGTCTTGCTACTGTATACCTTCTAAACGCTCTGGTTTAATCTTTTATCAATCTTCCATACAACGTCATGTATATTGATTGGTGCGCTTCGTCGCAGGTGTTCTGGTGTCGCAACTTACACACGTCAACAATTCGTTACGTGATATCCCCCTATATGCCGGGCCGAGTGAACCAAGATCTCGGAGCTATCAGTTATCTACGGGTAAATGGCGGGGGGCATGAATATGGATAATAAGAAAAAAAAAACATGCTCATGGTTACTAAATTGCCTGGAAGCGACGAGACCAGGCAGTATGTCGCGTTCATGAGCTGGTCAAGAAATCATCTTGTCGTCCCCTATTAGCCGCGATCTCCTGAAAAATTCCATGGAGTAATAGGATAGGAAAGGCTACCTCCGGATGCGATATCCCATCTAAGGCATCAGAGGATGCGATCGTACGAGGCAAGTGATTTATGTTAGGGCGTACTGTCGAGGACATGTCCCGCGAGATGAGTATTGGCGGCGTGGCTTGCTGAAAGATGTGACTAGATCTCGGAGCGAGCCGCCCCAATCCAGGGTGGCAAACAAAGAGTTTACCCCTGACTGCCCTTCATATACCGGACAATGCATCAACAGTACATCTCTTCCGCTTTAACCTACGAAATCAGTCAATGAGAAACTAACTCAGCGACGGCCTCAACATGACGATACACGTTCACGAACACTGCTTGCGCATGGCTAGGCGCGAGGATGGTACACCGTGGTGGGCAGCATTTCCAGAGCCAACTTCGACGCCGGTCCATATCGAGCCCCAGACTGTCCTCGAGCTTCTTGAGCAGCAAGAACATGTCGATGACATGCCCCAATCGCGCAGATTGCTGCTTGTCGATTGTCGCCGGACAGACTGCGCCGGGGGAACTGTCAGCTCATCAATCAACCTGCCCGCCCACAACTTCTTTCCCACGCGCAAGAGCTTGTACGCTTTGTGCAAACAGGCCGGGATCCAAAAGGTGGTCTTCTATTGTGGTACGTGTTTGACTTTTTCTGTCATTGACTCTTGGGGACAGAGTCCAATCAATCCTATGCTCTTTGAACTCGTACCTCTACCGCCGACCCTCCCTAACACCAATGCTTCTTCCCCCAGGCTCCTCCGCTGGTCGGGGCCCTCGATGTGCCGCCTGGATGCAAGACTATATCAACGACGTAGGCGGCGATCTTCAGTCGCAGGTCATGACGGGCGGGATTCGAGGCTGGGTGCGGATGTACGGCGACCGCATGGTGGACGGGTATGACGAGAAGACGTGGAAGCAGCTGTTGTCGGAGAAGAGCTGTACGTGATGAAAAAAACAAAAAAATCCTTTGGGTATCTTTTCTTCGACCACCGCCGCAGATGTTTCCCTTTCTAAGTTGAAGATAATGCAGCTTTCCCAAACACATGCCTCGTGTGAAACTGAACGCCGTACCAGCCAACCCACCTACCTTTTCACCGTCCGAGACCGCGTGGAACACTGTAGATGACGCCGTAAACTATAAATCGCCTTGGTGTATAGTCAAATCCCTTCAATTGCCATCCGCTTATTCCGATGCCTCGCCTTTTGATGTAGGCGTTTGTAGATGCGCAGGGTCGTTTTATCGTGTTGCGAGAAGATGATTGTTGATTAGCCGCGCTGTCCTCCCCTCTCATCGCCGCCGATTCTCTCGAGAGCCTCCATCATCACAACGGAGTTACCACGGATGGTCTGTGTGCACACTCGTCAGCAGGAGACACGACAGCACCTGTCTAAGATGATGAACATACCACCATGCCAAGCTTGACCTTCTCACCACCATCCTTCTCCTCAACAGCATCGTCCAAAACAATGTTCAAGAAGACCTATGACGTCGCGAACCGTCAATTATCATGTTCGAATTCGTAAAGGGGAGATCTCGTACATCGTAGCCACGGAGAACACCAATGACCTTGCGGCTGCCGTTGAGTTGGACGAAGAGCCTCTTGTCGAGGTACTGATTGGGAAGTGGTCGGTTAGCTCACTACACCATACTAAGCAAACAATAACATGGCGTTCGAGATGCGACAATGGCATAGTCTCGACCAGCCAGCTGCCATTCATCGTGAAAGACAATTCTCCAATGGTGATTTCTTACCTTCTTCAGTTCAGGTTGTGCGGGCGCCATTGTATCTTGAGGTTGTGTTGGTTGTCTGGGATGGTCTTGAGAGAGTTGCTACAATGAATGGCAATGGCGTCGTTCTGGCTGGTAACTCTCCACTGAAACAACCTGGAAGGCGGGCCTTGAGCAGCGCGTGCAATCGCGACCATCCCCAGTGATTTTCGGCCCCCAGGCCATCACGTGGGGACACTGATAAGATAAGAAACCGCAATTCGCGTTGTCTTTGGGTCATTGCAGTGTTCAGTGCAGTGACATCCAGTCGCCCACCAGCGTCATTCTCCAGGGTGCATTTCGAAGCTTCCTAGCTGTCTGGACACCTTTTTGCACTACAAACTTGCCTGTAAACAACACGCCCGCCTCAATACTACATTACCTTTACAAATTCCCTGTCAGACACCTTTCTACACTTTACCCAAGTCGATCATTACAAAAATGAGCTCTTTTGGAAAACGCAAGCCACGCATTATCCAGACCTTTGACGATGAGGATGGCGACCTTCCTACGGTGCTTGGAGGAGAGGAGCCGAAGAACGAACGTAAGTTACTACATGGCCATGCCCATCCCTATCCAGCATAGAAAATCTCAGTGCTGATACCAAACCAAAGAACAAGCAAGCTGATACGCCTTCGAACAGAACCAGTACCACAAGGACCGATCAAGTTTGGGCGCAGCAAGCCTACTAAATCTTCGTCACTACGAAGAACGATCAAGATCAACGACGGTAATGATAATCCCCAAGAAACCAGCGGCGACGCAATCCAACCTACGTCAACCAGCACAAGTACGGCACCCGAGGTAACAGAAGCCGACGAGGACACTGGTGTGCCGCTCGTAGTACGGCCCGGTTTCGGCCGCTCATTCTCCAGCAAGAAGAAACGCATCTCAAAACTATCATTCGGAGCCAGCGAAGGCGACACGGAAGACGGCGGCAATGATACGACAACAACTGCCAGCAGCGACGTGGTCAGCGCCCCAAGCAAGAAGTCGCTGAGCCAACGAGTTGCCGAGAAGAACGCGCTTCGCAAGTCCGCCTTGACCGCACGATTCGGCACATTTGGCGCCGACGAAGAGAAGCCTCGGTACAGCAAAGAATACCTTGAAGAACTACAAAGCTCCACGCCAGCCACACCACAGAATCTCGCCTCGCTAAGCATCATCGACGACGATGACGATGACAGTCTCAAAGCCCACAGCGCACCGTTGCCGGAGGCAGCTGCCGCGCCCGAGACAACAGGCGACGCCATGGACCTCGACCCCTCCGAGCTTGACGGTGCCATGATCGTTCAATCCCGGGACATGCCCCTAGCACTCACCGGCGATATTCCCACAGCAGCCGCAGCCCATGTCCTCACCGAAGCCGAGATCCGCGAGCGCAAAGAGCGGCGCGCGCGCCTTGCCAAGGAACACGATTTCATCGCACTCGACGATAGTGACCATTCCGACAATGACGACCGAAAACGCATCACATTGGGCGTCAACAAAAAGGCCAAGAAATCTGAATCGCGTCTCATAGCGGAAGACGAAGACTTGGGCGAAGGTTACGACGAGTTTGTAACTGACGGCTCGCTTGCGCTGGGCCGCAAAGCCGAGCGCGAAGCCGCCAAGCGGCACCGCCAGGAGATGGCGGAGATGATCCAGGCCGCGGAGGCCGGTTCTGATGCCGAGAGCGACGACAGCGAGGCGGAGCGGCGGGCTGCGTACGAGGCGGCGCAGCGGCGGGCGGGTATGGACGGGCTGCACAAACCGGAAGACGACCTGATGGAGACAGACGAAGAAGGAGGAGGAGGAGGAGGAGGAGGGGTAGGGGGGGTGAACCAAATTCCCAAGATGAAACCGCTTCCGGAGCTGGGGGAGGTGTTGGCGCGCATGAAGGGTTTGGTACAGGGTTTGGAAGATGAGGTGAGCAGACGAAAGGCGAGGATAGAGAGTCTGGAGAGGGAGAAGGAGGAGATATTGACCAGGGAGACGGAGGTGCAGGAGATATTGAACCAGGCGGGAGCCAAGTATCAAGCTGTCATGGGCGGTGCTGATGCTGCCGGTGCTACTGCTGCTGGTGCTGCGGCGACGGCCGTGACAAGTGCCGTTGCTGCTTCGGGGGCGACTACATCGGGTGATGCGTCGAAGTTTGTCACGCAGTCGCCTTTGAGACCATTACCGCCTGGGTTTGCAGCGGATCTAGCTGCGACTTCTAAGGAGAGAGGGTTGGAAAGCTTTGGGACGCCAACGCAAGAAAAGGGGCCTGATGATATTGACACTGAGATGGCGATGTAATGGGTACAATGAGCTTAGACCAAAAACGCCAAACGGACATATGTTATATAGGCTTACAACAATGATATCATCTTGAATATCAAACAGTATCCCCTATAAACTTAGCCCCGAGTTTCATCCATTGTCAATGTCTGTTTTATACTGAGTCTTTATGAAAATCGCCCGGAAAGGAAACCACGCCATCTCCTAGCTCGTACTTTCCGTTAACCATGTCTCAATCCGTCCCTGTCTGCCTGCCTGCCTGCCAATGATGCTGACGCCCTTAAACAATGTAAAATCAGTAGTGGTGCAACCAGCCAACAGTCTAAGGATGTCTGATAGTACCATACGCCCACACCCCATACCCGCCGCATCTAATCAATAAGCATACGATAGCTCTCTGTATCTTGTCTTGGTGTTGTTATCTTTTTGACGGTTTGTATCCGTTATCGAGGGGGTGAGGAAGCCCCTCCGTTCTCAATTCACTTCACCTCTTACTTAGTCGATGACCCCCTAACCACACCAGCGCCCAGAACACCGGGCATCTTCTCCTGGCCCACATCGAACAGCAGTCCAATCGCAAAGGCGATGGCACCGACAAGGGCAATGGTAGACCCGGCAATAAGCCAGAACTGCATGCTGACGTCCTCCTTCTGGCACATGTTACCACCCCAGTGCACAGTCTTGTAGGCCTTGCCCGGAGCCCCGGGGCGGTTGTCCATAGTAGCCAGGCACTTGCAGACAAAGCAGCTAGCTCCGCCAGCCTCGGTACTACCGTTCTTGCCTCCCCACTTGTCCACGCACGTGCCATGGCCCGAGCAGTTGCCCGTCTGGTCAACGCAGCTCTTCTCCGAGGTAAAGCACTGCGGAATCGCCTTCTTAGCGGCGGTCTGCAGGTGACTGTTAGTCGGACGGGAGAGGGGAGGCTGGGTCGGGGCAACGGCAGCGTTCGCGCCGCGGACGCTATCGTCGACGATGACGGTCTCGGAGTTAAAGCGACGGCGGAGATCGGAGGAGGAGCCGGTGGCGGCTTTGACGCTCCAATGGTTGAGCTTGGAGGAACGGCTCGACTCGGGCATTAGGACGAGGACGGCCTCGAGGTCGCCGGAGGAGATGAACTTGTTGAGGCGGTTCAGGTTGTCGACGAGCGTATCGAGGGCCTCGGGCGACTATCAAACAGAGGTTGAGTTGGTTACTGAACTAGCAACGGGTGTAGAAGTGTCCTCCGATTGTAACGCACCTTCTGAATATCATACCTGACCACTGACGAGGAGCCCGTCCAGCAGTCTCCATTGATGGGGTTGATGGCAGAGGCCAGGTCGCACTGCTCCGGCGTAGCAATACCCAGGTTTTGGAAAAGCGACATCAGTCGATCATTGGCCACCTTGGATGGCGGATCTGAGATGGCGAAGGCGGCATGCTGGCTTGACTTGGCGAGCGAATCCCTCAAAGGCCCAGCATTCTCGGCAGTGACGCCCTCAAGGATGACAACTAGTTGTGATGGATCATTCGTCTCGGTCTGGGTGAAAAGAGGTGCCGGACTCTTGCCGTACTTTGCAAGGAAGCTGATCGCGGCCTCGGTTTCGATAGAGCTAGGGATGTCGCGAAGGTCGCTGCCGTAGTTGTCTCTGGATGCCTGTTGCGCAGGTTAGATCAGACTTGAGTAGGTATTTTACGCGCCGAGTTACGTGTGTTTGACTTGCCCTCTGGAGAAGGATATGGCGGACGACTTCTTTTGGTAGCCGGGGTACTTCGCGGGATGGTTGTTCTTGTTGTTGCTTGGAATCAAGGATGAAGACATCGGCACTCTGCTGTGATGCAGCAGCAGCAAGCCCAGACAGAGCTGCCAAAGTTATACTGGTGAGGAACCTCATATTTGAGAACAGCCGAATGGTCGATGCGGCCGGTGATAAATGCCCGTTGGATGAGGATTGTTCCAGTGACGTTTGTAAAGTCGCTGGCGGAGACACAATGGACTGGGTAGAAGTCGGAGTTGGATGGACCTAGCTTGCCGAATGATGAATCCCGTCCGGGCCCCACTGCCACAAGTGGAAGTTCCCCAGCAGCCTGGGCTGACATGAATGCGCCCACTGAATAGTGGTCATCGCTGCCATTGGTACCACTGGCCCATCCGTCCACTGTGAAGCACGACCGTGGAGGTGACAGCTGCCCTCAACTGGCTTACGCAATATGGAGGACCGACGCCGGGATGCAGTCAAGTACCTGCACGTAGTAATGGGTAGTACAGTGACACATTACCCCAACGCACTGTTGGTATCATTAAAACAGCGTGCAAAAAGGGAACAGCAAGGCGCACTGCGGCATCCAGCATCTGAACTGAACAAGCGTCTCTGAACCGCTGGAGGGGACGGGACTCGGAGAGGCATATGTACTTAGAAGGCCCTCGAATTTCGCACTGTGAGTCTACCCCATCTTCGTTCTGCCGGAATTCGAGGCGCGACCAGACCCCGGAACTAGGTACTAGTAGCCTGGTCGCGGTCTTCAACTTCCATCTCTCAGATTGGCTTTCTGTCCCGCTGTCGCAATCGTCACAAGCCTACGAAATCCATTCTCGACATCGTCTGCCGCCCGCTCCCTTCCAGTACGGGAAATCCCCCCAGCAGGCTTACATATCTGCGCGCCTTTACCTGTCCTCGGAGCCGCACATCCCGAACCCGCAACGAGCTACTAGCGAAGCCGAGCACAGTCAAGCCCGAAGCCGTTTCGCCGTTCTCTTCTCATATTTGATTTTTTTCAGCGCATACGAGCGGCCGCGACCTTTGATCCTTCCAACTCTTCGGCCGCCGGCTGGGCGTGCCACAGTCATCCAACATGGCATCGCGCCTCTTCCGACCGATGAGGTCGCTCATGGCCTCCCGAAATTTATCAAAATACATGGTACATGGGCAGCCGATTGTTGTGCAAGGAGTACGGATCAAGCATGGCTCCTTCAGAAGGTAATGCCTCTAGCAATCCCAGATGGCCTGGGTATGTCGTGCTGACATGGGTACTTTTTGGCAGGCGAATCTTCCGGACCCTGGCCATGGGTATTACTCTATACGTGTGCGCCGATTACTACGACAGGAAAGTGCTAGGGATGCTTTCGAACGCGTTGGATGATCTCGACGGCGACCGTGGCCATGGTGAAGAGGAGGATGACGAAGAAGAGGATTACGTCTTCATCCCCTTTCCCCTAACGGAGCAAAAACTCAAGCCAGAGCCATACTCGGCACGCAGTCCGGAGTGGAAAGAGTTCGTCAAGTTCGCACAAGATCAGAAACGGATACAGCAAGTCCAGGGTTAGTAGTAGTAGCGACCATACATGTTTGTTTGGAAGGATATGGAGACTGACATATCAAACAGAGGACATCGCCAGCCTGGTCTTGAGGATGCTCAAGAATCAGCGAATCTTGACAAACTATGTTGGACCAGAAATGACTGTCAAAAAAGCATGGCTCCAGGCATTTTATCCTTTGGTCGCACCTCCCGAATACGAACGTTACGGGTAAGTCTTAGACCAAATCCCATGCGCGCTCGAGTCGAGCTGACACTTATCGTTTGATGGCAGAATCATGATTACGCCATATGAAATCGGATGGGCTAGTATATCGATGGAGTCGCCACAGGTGAAGAAAGCTGAGCGGTTGTTCTGGCCTAAGCCTGTTGCGTTGTCGCTATGGGCCGTCGCTACCACCCTTGCGAAGAAGAAAGCGATGGAGGTCTCGCAGTTTTTCGGTCTTTCGGGTCTTTTCACCCCTTCGGAGCCCCCGGTGCAACGAGCTCAGGGAACCGGAACAACTGGACTGCCTTCGACGGTCACTGGCGACGTTCAGAGAATGATGGACCACATCCGACGACAGGCAACACAACGACCGGAGGATGTGCAGGACCCTGGTGCCCTGGTCTCGGCAAGGAGTATGAATCCCGACGCTGCTGCGCAGAACAAGGGGATACTCACAACCATGAATCGACCCCCTCCTAGCAAAGAGCCGCCCAAGGCCGGCGAAGAGAAAAAGGACCAGGAATGGGCTTTGGCCCAGCTGCGGGACTTCATCGGGCTCAGCCCATGGGAGATATTCACCAAGACGTACAGGAAGGTCTGGAAACCAATTCGACCTGATCCACCGCGCGGGTCGATGGCCTTTGCCGGTATGATCGAGTTTGAGACGAAGAAGCATTGGTTAACAGCATATGTCACGGCTTGGTACAACCCAGGGACGCGAAGTTTCGACCCCAACAACTTTACGATTACTGTCACGAGGTTGACGAACAAGCAAGTCCACCCCTTGGTCCGTTAACACAAGATGTTGTGTTGCGATACAATGGCAGAGGAGGTCTTTGTTTCGATGGGAGCCTTCTTCTCAGTTCTTTCATTTCTTTATATCAGCATGCTGGAGTGTAGCATTGTCATGGGACGGCGTTACGTGGAATAGGCTTCGATAAAAGCATGGCAATTTCACAAGTTGTGTCGGTCAGCTTGGTAAAATTGTACAGAGCGGGCAGACTCGGGGTTTGAGTTTCGGAAGAGATACCACAATAGACACCAGAAGTGGTAGTGCTTGGGATATGGATATCAACAATGAATCACATAGTATTCCTCAGCCTATCTATTGAATAAACAAAAGCGCCGAGTATCTTGAGCGCTGTCGAGCATTGCTGTGTGTCATACTTTGCGTGGCTCGGGGCCCGGAAGCCGGGCTCGGCGATCATCACAAGATAGTAACGGAATGCCAAGACCCGGGCTCGCTGCCAAGGCCGGATCCTCACCTCCAGCGCCGAGAGCTGTTGACTACACCACAACGCACTTCGGCTTGGTCCGGCCTCTTCTTTACAGCTTCTCGCATCATCTCACATCAACTTTGGGGATGTCGGAAGTCTTTTTCGGCTATATCACAGAATGAAAATTGCCCGTAGACGGATCGTCTCGTAAAACTCGAGTGTCTGATAGCGTAGTTGCCGTTGATGCCGGGACGGGGCCATCTGCCACCTTTAGAGGGTCGAACCAACACTCAGCACCCTCCAATAGAAGATCTTGCAAAAACGATTACGATACCTGATTTTAACATGCTTCAAGTTGTGAAAGAAAAGTTTCACAAACTTACGGGAAACATGCAACGTTCCAAACGCAGGAATCCTCCATTGCCTGTTTCGCGGTTACGCTGTTAATGATGTTGATGGGAAAATGTGCACGTTTCATGACCGATGAGAAATGGGTGGCGCCGTTGTTTTGATTGTGGCAGACCTGAGTCTGACCGACGAAGTTGTGTTCAGTTCGTAGAAATTACATTTCCTCATTGCTGGTTTTTGTTGATTCCTTGTGGTGATACGCAGCATGTGGCACTCCAAGCGTCTAGTCCACATTGTAGAGTCAACTAGTTGACATATCAACCATATGATACGGGATTGAATGTTGAATGTCCGCTTACCATGTGATTATCGTACATTTGAAGATCAGCTGAGATCGTCAGATCCGGGCGCTTCAACTGGGTGGGAAGGGCGGGGGCAACCGATCCGGGCTGTTAACGTTCTAGACAAAGTGCTTCAAGGATGAACGGAGTCTATTTTCGGTGGGTGTGAGAATAGAGAGAGAGTTAGTTGTTGGACAATTTGCGAGTTTCTGTGGTTCCTAGTGTACCAAGTTCTGTTAAGCCTGGGCATGGAAAAGGTACAATAGCTGATCTCAGTCATAAGGAACTCGTTTGCTCCCATATTCAGACGTATCGTAAAATCCGCTGCTGTAACTTGAGCTGGGCTGGTTAAATCAAGCACATTGGTATGGTACTGCAAGCCTTTCTTAGTAGATCCCTTGATCGATCTCGAGTTCTTTTCGCGGCACTCTTGTCACAGCCGTCTGTTGTTTTGAGGTCAAGTAGTACTCGCAACTAAAAACATTAGTTGCCCGAGAACCCACAGCCCTGCACCAACATGGACTGAGCTTTTCTTTCAGGGCCGTTAAACGGTACTTGCGTGCTGTTGTCTGTTGCGGTATGCATGGGAGTTACTCGGATCATCTGTGCACAATCGTGCATACCTAAGCCCCAAGGCGTTTGCCCAAGCTCCTGTTACGAACAGACCGCTTCCCAAACATCTAGACCTAGTCTCCAAACACTTGCAGCTCGTCTGCCCCATGGGGCGTTGGTTTCATGGCATGTGCGTCTACCCAGATCGCCATTCAAATGCGTTACAGACTGTGCAAGATAACTTCATGGCAGGGATTCCTACACAAAACTTTACGTCGTTCCTGGCCTCTGTTCTCTTTTCTCAAATCATATCACATCTAATTACCTTTATGTCTTCCCATTAGGTGTCTATTCAACGTGGCGATGAAACACCACCCCAGACCCAAAGTCCGTGGCCGATCATGCCTGGGCAAATAGAACACCGAAAGCAACTGTTTATTATCTCGACCCAAAATAACCTTCGCCGCACTGACTCTCCCATTGTTGCCTCTCCATTCAATCTCACAACTGTCCAGTCACTAAGTTTCCCTTCCCGAACAGTCTACATGGTAGCTGGCTACCTCAAACTGGCTCTGCTATAACCTGGGGTGTTTCCTTTGTATATATAATCCCATATCGTATCATATCGATCATTTCCCATGTTCAAACTTTCATCGCCGTACGAGCCACTCAGCCTATAGTACCTCCGCCGAGGTCCTAGAGCCAGCAAATTGATCGATACTAGAGCTCACAATGGCATTGTCTGTGGACGACAAGCGACCAGCCGTGGTCGATGCTCAGAGGCTCTCCACATCTTGGGAGAACCGCGGTACGATACATACATGTACTCTGAGTGACAAAAACAACAGCAACAACACCAACCAACCGGGAACAACCGTACCAGACCCAACACCAGATCCGCCTTCTATCGAGCCACCAAGCGCTACAAAAACTGACCAATCGAATTTCTGGCACTTGAAGAGTCCTCCAGCCCCTGCTTATACTTTTCCAAATCGGCCGAAACATGAGAGGACAGAAAGCACAGAGAGCACAGAAAGCCAATCCACTCAAGCCTCAAGCAGTACCGAAGTAGACGAGAAGTTCGAGGGCCAAGGCAAATTAGACAAAGCATCAGCGACGACATCAGTAACTCAGATTGAAGGCAACAACGACCCAGGCCTACCAGAACCGCCCTATCATGTTTTCACCAAAAAGGAAAAATGGCTGGTCACGAGCATCATCGCAGTCGCGGGTCTCTTCTCTCCTCTCTCCAGCAACATCTACTTTCCGGCTTTGGGGGCCATTGCCAATGTTAGTCACCCGTATGAGCAGAAGGGTCCCAAAGGAGGTTAAGAGCATCGCTAACCTACTCTCAGTCTATTCACATCGACATCGCGCTTGTATCCTTGACTGTAACCATCTACATGGCAGTGCAAGCGTTTGCCCCCTCGTTCTGGGGTCCCCTAAGCGACACGTGCGGACGCCGTGTCACTTTCATCGGGACATTTGTTGTTTTCCTCATTGCAAACATTGCATTGGCTTTCAGCAAGAATTTTGCCATGTTGATGGTATTTCGAGCTATTCAGGCATTTGGTAGTGCTGCCACTATTTCTGTCGGTACGTCAGACTCGTCGTTTTTGTATCGCCGTGCTATTTCCGCCGAAGATCAAGCATTAACCATGTCCCCTTTTCTAGGAGGAGGTGTCCTTGGCGATATTACGACAGCAAAGGAGCGTGGCGGCTATATGGCAGGGTTTAGCGCAGGTGAGTCCAATCCGTATCGATGTGGTTGAGAAGGAAAGGGCATGACTGACAAATTTCCCATTCATCAGTCCGCATGTTTGGTCTGTCCATGGGCCCAGTCATCGGAGGCATCATTACTGAGTATCTCGGCTTCCACGCAATCTTCTGGTTTCTCTTTGTTCTTGGTAGCATTACGCTGGGCGCGATCTTGCTTTTCCTCCCAGAGACCCTCCGCCGAGTAGCCGGGAACGGTACCGTCCCACTCAAGGGCATTCACCGTCCTTTCTTCGACCGTCAGCTCCGGCAGCGCTACTGGATAGAAAGAGACGCCACTCAGGAACAAGACGACATCACCGCTCCCCCACCCAAGCTGACCTGGTCTACTCTCTTCGCCTCCTTCCGCTTCATGGCCGAAAAGGACGTCATCGTCACCCTCTTCTTCGGCGCCATCGTCTACACAGTCTGGAGCATGGTGACATCCTCCACCACCGCCCTATTTCAGCCGCGCTTCGGCCTCGGTGACCTGCAAACCGGTCTGATCTTCATCCCCAACGGCATCGGCTGCATCTGCGGCTCCTTGCTCTCAGGCAAGATCATGAACCGCGATTATAAGATTGTCGAGACCAGTTACCGCGCCTCCCACCACCTCTCGAGCTCCGTCGAGATCAACCGCAAGAAGCTGGCCGACTTCCCCATCTCGCGCGCCCGTCTGCGTTCGTCGCTGTACTTTGTCATCCCTTTTATCATTTGCGTCGCGGGATACGGATTTGCCATCACCAGCTCCCGCCTCGGCACTGAAAAGAAGGCAATGGCCCTGCCCCTGGTCTTGCAGTTCTTCATCGCCTTCACCCAGATGGGCTTGTTCAATTTGAACAGCACCCTTATGGTGGACCTCTACCCAGGAGCGAGCGCGAGCGCGTCGGCGGTCAATAACCTTGTGAGGTGTCTGATTGGCGCTGTTGGCGTCGCGCTGGTACAGTTCATCATTGACGCGATTGGCGCGGGATTGACGTTCCTTCTTCTTGCTATTGTCACTGCAGCTTTTACGCCATTGCTTTGGCTGGAGTGGAGGTTTGGGGAGCGCTGGCGAAGAGAGCGGGTGGAAAGGCTAGAAAGGGAGAAGGCGGAGAAGAGAGCGGCTGAGGGTGGGGAGACTGGTCAGGCCTAGAGCGCTGCAGAAAGTTGGTTAAGCCTCTGAGAGGTTGGTGGTCGTCGTGGTCATTCGATTTTTCGTATGCTCGGTTTGTATTTTGGACAGCTGGACGGACGACGTTGACCGTTTTGGGTAGAGTTTGGAGCAAAGGAGCAGGTCTCTCTGGTTATCGTTGGTTACTGCTGGATCGGTATCAGCTATTGAAGCGTTCACGCAAGCAATTGGCGGTCTTGGGATTCGAAGGGTTCATGGAACCCGGGGGCGTTGGTGCTTTTTGCTAGAGGTAGACTAGAGCTGGAAAGCCCGGTTGCTAAAGTGGGCTGGATACCATGGCGGTAACGGATAGACAAAAGCCGTTTGAACGACTCGCGATTGAATCGAGGTAATCGGATCTGGCGTCAAGCAAAATTGTTTACCTAGCATTGCTTTGAAGTTGTGATTCCTGCCCGCCGATTCCACTGTCGACCGCCTCGCCCTCACGTGCTGTCATGGTGTCCGGATACCTAGGTAGTGAAGAATGCTATGAACACTGCCGGGGCCGTGCAAACTTGATTGGACAGTGCTTCTCTCTTCTTCCGTTTGTGAAGTGCAAGAGCCTAGTCATACTACGAGGTTCGCGAATTCGAAAGGAGCACCTCTTCGTTCTTGTTGTGGCCTTGATCACCACTTCCACAACCTGGTCCAGTGAAGGTCCCAGGTCAGGTTTCAACTTCGCCTCCCGGGCGGTGTCCAACTTCGATCACCTGAGAATTTTCTACATTCCATCCCATCACAGAATCTCAGCACTTGGAATCGTGGTGTTCTCGTCGAACGATTTCGACCCCGTTTGTTTACTTCCCTTCCTTTTTGGGACACAGAGTGGGGCATTTGCATGGGTTTTTACGGTTCTTGGCAGGGGTGCGAGTGGTCCCATTGGTTCAAGTGGTCTGGACCGCGGTGACTGCCAACATGGGATGGCAAAAGAGCGTTCATTCACTCGACGATTGTTGGTCGTAGGTTTACAATTGGCAATTGACATGACTATTTTGACATTCTTGGGAAGTCATAGCATCTGGATTGGGGTTGATGAGAGCTCCTCAGACAGAAGATGATAGCAGATTGCCGACTGAACTTGATAGGTTTTTAAGGATGGTTGAACTTCGCGGGATCAGGTTGCGACATGGGACACTCGGGGATCATTTTTCCAAAAGAACTCCAAAAATAGCAATATCAGGGCGTATAGGTACTATGAACTTTCAGCTGTCTATTTCCATATCTTGATCTGAGATTGAGGGCGGTTGTTCTTGGGACCGTTGAGATGCGCGGCGTCCGAGTTTCCGTCCGTGCCGCTGTCCAGGCGTCAGGAACAAAGGCGACCTCAATCTTCTTTCAGCATTGTTGTCGCGGCTGTCACGAGTTTCTCTTTGTGCAGTCTATGATCTGCCTACAAGTCCATTGATCAATGCTTTGTGATGCATAAGGGTTTGATGTCCCGTTAGTGACAGCGGCAACGAACGACATCTCGAGGTTGGACTTCTGCCGCTTTTCGTGGGTTTGTCCACATCAAGAACTCAACCAAGGCTGTTCGTAGATTGTTCATCTTGTTCAAAAGAACGTTTGTTCTGTTCCATTATGGCTGTTCTGGGCTGTTCTTTTGTCTGCTATGGTTGTTCGTGGGACAGCAGACCTGGACAGACCTTGGCGAAAGACTCGTCCGATATCACATTTTAGAAGAACTATACAGATTCCCAATGAATGAACAGCTTCTATGTTTGCTCCGTCTTAAACGGGCTGTCCAGTATGGGATGACAGCAACCTCCAGCCTGTACGATGAACAGCTGGGCAATCTGGGACTGTTCACGCAGCAAAACCAGAACAGCCAACCTGAACCGACCTGGATCTGGCTGTTCGCAGGTTGAAAACACTAAAACACTGTTCACTCCTGGCGACCTTGAAAGGTGACCGTCGAGATCTGAGGTGGCATAAAAGTCGACCGCCGCACCCAAGAGCTAATCCATTTTGCTTCCTCCCAAAACTGCTTCGACAGACAATCGTCAGACGACCAAAGTCAATCGACACTCTGCGATCTCAAGGAACCTCAAGCAACCAACAACAACTTGTCAGTAAGTATACCATCCGCACCCATCTTAGGAGGCATCAAGTACTTACATGTACCCATCCTCAATAGTCAATCATCGCAACAATCTCCACCAACGACGACACTTCTTGATCGACATCATGTCACCCACACACATTCCACCTACCCAAAAGGGTAACCCTCTCTCACCCTTATCGTGGCTCAAGCAAGCTTCCTTCAACATCTTGTGCATGGGTCTCGTCGTTGGCTTCATCCACTCTGGCATCAAGAATCTTTCCAAGGGTGAAAAGGTCCTCTACTACTTCCTCGCTCTCTTCATCTGGCGTTATCTTCGCTTTTGCATCAACATCATCGGCTTCTGGACCTACAAAGCTGCCCCCATGCCCAAGAGCAACGCCAACTACCACCCCGGTCGCGATGTCACTGTCGTCATTCCCACGGTCGATCCCCTCGGTGTCGACTTCCATGAGTGCCTCACTAGCTGCGCTCGCAACGGCCCCCGCAAGATCATCATCGTCACTGCCGGAGAAGATCTATATGAGAAGACACTCGGCGCTGTAGCTCCCGTCATGGATGAGTTCCCCCTTGTCAACTTTCTGGTCACCCGTACAGAGATCGCCAACAAGCGCAAACAAGTCGCCCACGTCATCCGCTATATCAACACCCCGATCACAGTCCTTGTCGACGACCACGTCTTCTGGAACTCTCCCGACCTTCTCAAGTCCTTGCTTGCCCCCTTCGAAGATAACCAGGTTGGCATTGTTGGTACCAATAAGCGGGTCCGCAGATTGGAAGGTCTTTCTGTCTGGCGCCGCTTCTGGAACATGCTCGGTTGCCTGTACCTCGACCGTCACAACTTTGAGATCCGCGCCACTAACGCCATTGACGGTGGTGTCTTTGTCGTTTCCGGCCGCACAGTTGGCATTCGCACTTGCATTCTCGAAGACAAGCAATTCCAGGCCGGCTACCTCCACGAGATGTTCTTCTTCGGTCTTCTCGGACCTCTCAACCCCGACGATGACAACTATATCGCCCGCTACATGGTTACCAACGGTTGGAAACTCAGGATTCAGTATACCAAGGACGCAGAAATCGAGACCACCGTCGGTGTCGGCGAGCCTGTCCACACCAAGTTTCTCGGTCAGTGCCGCCGTTGGGCTCGCTCCACTTGGAGATCCAACACCAGCAGCCTCTTCACCGAAGGCACTGTCTGGGCCACTCAGCCTTACTGCGTCTACGCCGTCTACCTGACCAGCTTCACCAACTTTGCGCTCTTCACCGATGCCGCCCTGGTTTACCTCTTCACCCAGTCTTCCTGGTACTTTGACGCCGCGGAGCCCAAGTACGCCCTCGCCGCTCTTCTCTCCTGGATTATCTTCACCAAGACCATCAAAGTCTTCCGCTACTTCTCGACCTATCCTCAAGACATCTGGCTCTTCCCCGCCTACGTCCTCTTTGCCTATTTCCACTCTTTCATCAAGCTCTGGGCCCTCTTCACCTTCTATGACCACGCCTGGTCCGGCCGCAACCTCGCCGCTTTGACCAAGGGCGAGAAGAAGGACGACGGCGAGGAGCTGTCCCCTCAGAGCCTCTGCGATGATGATGAGATTTCCGACTTGGACATTGGTCCTTCCGAATCTCCAGTTCTCTTGAAGCCCATGTCCCCCAAGGGGTCCCAGTCTGCCACTATCACCAAGGCCTAAGCTAGGAGGAGGACTTGTGCAAAGAAAAAGAAAAGAAATCAATCATAAAAAAAGGGCGAAAAACAATAAACAATCACCAAAACAGAATTTGCATTTTCGGGGCGTCACGGATCGGAATAACGAGAGAGAACAGGAAAAAGCATCATAGAGATCACTATCACTGCACTACAGCGGTATTCAGAATTTGCTTTTCATGGCGCACAAGAGGACAACAGGACAACAGGACAACAGGACGGAAAGTTGAGGTTCATTGTACGATACCCCCCTCTGCTGGTTTCTTCGGTTTTCGGTTTTCGGTCATCGGGCGAATGGGTTCTGCATTAATTCATTGCTTATGAGATACTCCACAACAACATACCCGACGAAGAGCTGGTTCCTGCGGAAGGATGGATGGACAAAGTCGGGAGATGAATGGTTAGGAGGACGAGAACATGATGGTAATGCGGATAATACTAAAAGGGGGGGAAGGAGGAGATACAAAGTCAAGCATTGGCAGATAATATATGCTTGATCCAAAAACTGTGCTCGCTATGATCATGCAAAAGTGATGTGAAATGTTGATAATTGCCTGTGACTTGACGTGACGCCTTTGGGTCTGATGTACGGAAGCTGCTATGATGCCTTGCATCTACCTGCCGTGCCGTGCTACACTTGTGAATGGGTGTTGAACCATGGACACTCAGTCGTACCTGTAGTGTCTTAAAAAGTTGATAATTGGTCCTACTATAGACTTTGTCGAAACAACGTGAAAAGTTAAGATCGACTGACAATGTATATAGTATCTTATTGTAGAACCGTGGAATCTACCGACTTGTTACCGATTGATTCAGGAGGGACATGCCGTTTGCAATCGAACGCATTCGCCGCAGCTCTTCGGGTATGCAATCGCAGTAAGCGCTCATGACTTGTGTTGTCCATGTCCATTTTCTCAAGACCTGGACAACCTTTTCATACTGGACTGTATATCACCTTGTCTCGTCCTCCTCGCGAATCCATGGCGTTGAGGTAACCTCGGTGCAAGACAAAAGTCATAACCACCGTCAATGATGCATGGAATCAGCGTAGCGAACAAACGAAGAATGTGTTGATTCTGATGATCTGTCTAAGTCTCTCTGCTGAGTTGACTGTCTCTCCGTCAAGTCTTTATAGCTTGACTATAGAGAAGGTTGACGCTTCCCAAATGGGACGCTGCCTCCTTCCCTGAGACAGGGTGCCAACGGGGGAAACCCCGTGTC